GCCTTTAACCAGCATATGCTATGGATTCCTAAGAATCAAGGTCGTCTACGGCTATGTAATGGCTTTATGAAATTACCAGAGCAAAATAATAATATTTTTCCAAATCAAAAATAAAGAAATAAAACGATATGTGTGTTACTAAATGCTAATAGAATGTGGGGATAATCAAAGGAATAATGAAGGAATTATAAAAAGGTAAGGGTAATTAAAGGGGTGAGGTAATTATTAACTTCGCATTTGTCTTTGTTTTGTAGAATCTTGGTGGTATCTTCATCATCGAGGGGCACGCGATCATGATCGTGATCGTGATCATGATCAAAACCATGACAGCCTCCCGGCATTCACATCGGATCTGTCATGCCGTTGCAGGTAGGTTTTTCTAGAGTTTGGGTCGTGGCGTGTCTTTTCTTGAGTGTTTAACCTTCCAATTTTATTTTATTTTTAGATTTGTTGGGTAAATCATCAAGCGGGCGCTTCAGCGTTGTCGGAATCGGATGTTTTCTTGATGGTGTAGCCTCTTCCAACGGTGCTAGTTAGGTTTGTTTTCTTCGTATTGGTGGCGGCGTTCGAGATTTCTTGTGGGAGGGCGCGCAATCGTGATCACAGCATTCCGGCATTTGATCTTCGGGGCCGTCATCTTCTTGAGGTAAGCGTTCCGTTTGCTATAACCGTTCTGTTTTTGGGTGGTTAATTCTTTCTCTAACCATTCTTGTCTTCTTTTCTTCTTTCCGTCGGAGCCTTGGTCGCGGTGTGCTTCGTCGTTCGCGGCGTATAGGTCTTTCGTGATCGGGGGACGATGCGCGATCGTGATCATGACCGGCATCGAAGTGTATCTCCAATCGTCGGGATGGTATATCTCTCGTCGGTCGTGGTGGGGGCTTGTCGGAGCGTTAGACTTTCCTTGCTGCTCTGACATCTTCGAGAATATATACAGTATGCATGCATATATATTCTAGGCGTGCTTATCGTTTGCAGACTTCGTATGATAAACTTTTTCTTCGCGATCGTGATCGTGATCACGATCAGGATGGCACTTCGACATTTCCAATCGTCGGTCTTGGTGTAATTCCGGTAAGTTGCGGCGTTTTCTTTCTTTTGCGGCGTTCTACCGTTGGCTTCTAACTTTTTCTTACCAGTCTTTCCCTAGCCCCATGCTTCACGTTCGATTCGCCATCCGCGGGTTCTCCTTGACCCTCGGCGATATCCATCGTCCCTGGCATGAGCTACCGGAGTCTCGTCGGTAAGTTCTAGTTCTTTGCCTTCTGGTTTTTCCGCCGTTCTTCTCTTTTTACTGGACGGTCCTTTCTTCCTTTAGGAACTCGTCCCTTGATTCTTTCGGTGCCGCGGCGTTTCTTCGTGATTGTCGGTATCCCGGCATGACCCTCGGGACCGACGACTTGCTCCAGATAAGCACCTTTTGCTTCTTTTTGTTTAATACGTTGTAATTTTCTTTTGTATTTACAAACGTAAATATCGTTCGACGAAAGTCTACGTAATCGTCGGATATCTTTCATTTCCTGACTTTTTCTTAGTTTCTTCGTCAGCCGGTGACGTTCGTTTGTAAAGATTTCGCCGGAAGCTTGATTTTTTAGGGAGGTGAGGTCTTTGAAGAACTTGCAATCAGTGTCGTCCTTTCTCCACCGTTCTATGTCGTGGCTCCGGCATTTCTCTACGTTGTCCAGCATCCTTCGGGGCTGGTGTCATATGGCCGGTAGGTCTTTTCTTTGGTTTATTTGGGGGAATAGGTCATTTCTTGTTCTTTGCTTCTCTTATTTGGGGCGTCGTTCATATATTCATTATTTTTTCATTAATTTAATTTAATTTTTTTTTTTTTAGGGGGAGGCGCATATACCGCCGATCCCGTGATCATCGTTTTCAAGGCTTCGCTTTTCTTCTGCGCAAGCCATTCCGGAGCTTCTATCGTTAATTTGGGACTTCTTTTAGGTCGGGACGATGCTTCTTCCTCTATTCGGCATATACCAGCAGCCGAATTCTTCTTGGACATCGTCGTTGGAGCGGAATTGGTCTTCGTTTCTCCGAT